AACAATTAATGTGGCGACCGTTTCTCCCTCACATTTGTCAAATCTGAAAGTTGAAAATCAAGTGACAAGAAAGTCTGAGGTCTGGGAAAGTCCTGGCAAACAGGACTGGCCAAGCTCTCTGTCCTCTTCTTAGGATCATTTGTGAGTCTCAGCCCTCCTGGGTACCCATCAAAGGACCCATCTCCAGACGCAACCGTACTGGGATTGGGATATCAGCAGATGCCTTTGCGACCGCAAACCTTTCATCTACTGCAGAAGACCGCAAATGACATCCCAGATGGTTATAGGTCTCCAGTGTGGATACCCACTGTGTGGATACATCATGACACCATCCTGCTCCCCGTCCCCAAGCCTGGAGAAGTCCCCAGCTTCCCTAGGTTGTCCCTGAGCAGGCCACACAACCAGGTCATCGATGTAGCCCCCCATCTCCAAGCTCCTGCCCCCCCCTCTCTCTCTCTCACACACACACGCACACACACACACACACCCCAGCATGGAAGAAAACACTTTTCCTCCTACTCTTCCTGTGCACAGCAGCCCCTTCCCTCAGGCTTCTGCTCCTGGCATTGCTGCGTGCCCCACCTCCCACCCCCCTCACTGTTCTCCCTCCCCACCCATGCAGTAACAGCATGGCCACTTGGTGATTTCTCTTCAGGGAACCCTAAGCCTGACTCTGAAACTGGACCCAGCTTTGTCCCTAGTAGAGAATGCCAGAAATCTTCATGACTGTCTGGCTCCTGTCCCTAACATCACAGTCCTCTACCCACACCCCATGGAGGGAGAAGAGCATCCACGGCATGGGTCCCAACCAGCTTGGTCTCCTGGGCGCGCGCTCTCTCTCTCTCTTTCTCTCTCTCTCTCTCTCTCTCTCTCTCTCTCTCTCTCTCTCTCTCTCTCTCTCTCACACACACACACACACACACACACACACTTTCCTAAACTAAGGGCTTGGTTTAGATATTTCTAAGTTGTCGCCCCACCCCACCCCAGTTCACCAACTGGAAACAGTGTTCAGTGGCTGTGACCAGCCACAGTAGCGGTTAGCACAGCAGGCTTCGAGAATGTCGCCTGACCGGTATTGTGGGAACTCTTGGGCCTTCCAAACCTCACAAGAAAGAAAATGCCTGGGTGAGATTTCCTCGAAGGCTCCTTGCCAAAGGGCTTCTTGGCCACAAGAATCAAGTCCCCAGGGGTCTTCCCCACCCACCAACAACCACTTTAATAATAATAATTTTAAAAAGGTCCTTTAGAACTCAAGCTGTAGCAACACCTGATCAGCAGGCAAGAGGAAGGTGATTCCTCTTGTAGAAATTTCAAACATTTTTTTTTTAAGTATAATCTCATTTTCTTTATGTGTTTCAGGTAAAAAAAAGACATAGCAGGGAAACAACTGGAAACAGTGTTCACTGGCTGTGACCTGTCGCAGTGAAAGTTTGGGAGTTTTTGCTGTTTGTTTGTTGGTTGGTTGGTGGTTTGTTTTGTTTCTGTTTTTCCTAAAAATTTGACTTCAAAGTTAGTTAAAAAAGATTTTCCTATCAATAAGAATGAACACTATATTCCCTGGATTGATTTCTTTCAGTTTATATACCAACTGCAATGTCTCCCAGTTCCACACATGATGCCAGCTCACTTTGAATAGTAACAACCAAAATATATATAGATGTTTAATGTAAGTACTTTAACACACATACACACACACACACACACACACACACTCACATATGCCGACAGTTGGCTCACTTCCTCCCTAAACTCTTACAACATTCTGGAATGATTTCAATATTCCTGTGTGAAAACACACCTTTGCTTCCAAGGCAAGTTGCTGACTGGCTCCATTATGCAGGTGGTCCTCCGGTCTGTGCCTCAATGTCAAGTTATTTGCTTTAATTCCATCTCCTTTTTATTAAAGGAGTTGCAGGGTTTTCTTCTGGCAATGCTGATGCAGACACAACAGGTGACACCTTTCAAAAGGGACTTATTATGTTAGCATGTGTGCGTGTGTGTGTGTGTATGTGTGCGTGTGTGTGCACATGCACGCACGTGCAGCTATTCACCTCTGGGTCTGGAGGTATAGACAGTTTTGAGGTACTTGATATGGGTGCTGGGAACCAAACTCAGGTCCTCTACAAAAGCCACACACGCCTTTAGCTACGGAACCATTTCTAGCCCCTGGGGCCTTCATCATGTTGTTTTTACCCTTTGCTTGAAAACATTGACTGCTTTTACACAGAAGTCATCGTTGTTTAGTGTATAACACCACAGATAACCCCATTCTGGCGCTAGAGTTGCCCAGCTACGGGACCTTAATCTGGGACATCTGCTGAATTCAGATACCTCATGCTTTGTCTTCAGAACTGTCCCTATATCATTGGCTGGCCATCTGGTCCTTCTAGCACGACACTGCGCAAAAACCAATTCTGCACAAACTGTCTATGATGATTTATGTCTGCAATATCATCACCCAGGAGGGTCACAGTAGACAATTGTGATTTCAAGTCTAGCCTGGGCCACAGGGTGAAACCCTGTCTCAAAAAACAAAACAACAGTTAAACAAACAAACAAAACCCCTCAAACAAGGAAGATAAAAAATTCTTTCAGTGTTTTTCCTCACATAAGACACCTTCCCTAAACATCTTTCCTCCCCAACCAACAATGTCTTTCAACTCACATCTCACCCCATCTCAGATAAACATAACCACAGTTATCAGGAAGAGGCAAAGAAGGAAAAGTCCTCAGGAGGCTATGACTATGGCGCTGGGCAACGACAGCCAGACACAGTAAAGTCACTGACAGGATTTACTCAGGTTAGAGAAGGCTTGATAATCAGGCATGGTGACGCAAACAGCAGCTGGAAGCCGAGTCCAAAAAGCCCTGTGATCCATGTTGAGTTTGGATGGTATCCTGTCAACTGTGGGGGCTATGGGAGCATTAAATAACAAGGCACAAAATGAGATTGGTCTTTACAATTTTTAAAGTTACTAAAACAGCAGGTAAAGCTGAGTATGTCAGCACATACCTGTCACTTCTGTATTTGGGAAGTAGGAGAATGTGAGTTCAAGGTCAACCTCAGCTACATAGTAAGAATGTGTCCCAAAAAGAAAGGAAGAAAAGAAAGAAGGTAGGAAAGAAGGAAGGCAGGGGGGAGGGAGGGAGGAAGGAAGGAAGGAAGGAAGGAAGGAAGGAAGGAAGGAAAAAGAAATAAAATGCACATTTTAGTACCTGAGACTATAACTCAGTTTATACAGCACTATCATGAATTGAAGTACTAGACTTGACTCCCTGCACTGCATACAGCCAGGTATGGAAGGCAGAGGCAGAAGGGTGGGAAGTTCAA